TAAAATACTCAAGTACTGCCGAAGCATCTCCAACTCCAAGTCGTAACCTTCTCACTTTTTCAATGTAGTTCCTACAATCTTTTTGTAGAAACGTCAAATTCCCTACACCTCCTGCCTCAACTGAACATGACTGAAAATTTTTACACGATTTAATCCCAGCCACATCAATAACTTCAAGTCGCCTTTTCACATAAGGTTGTATCATTCAGTTAACCTTGAAATATCTTCTTTTTGTTGGACTTATAAGATTATGGTTATGTTCAAGTACAACTGATTTAATTTCCTATTTGCATTCACCATTCAAAGCTGCACTAATCCGACTCTTACAATCTGTTTTGGCAACAGGTTGCTTTTTCAAGGTATTTCTTGACTTACATCTCTCTTTCCCAAAACAAAAACATGCCAATGTCACATATCTCATCTCTCCATCATCGTGTTTCTTTGACGTATGTATCATTGCTTCAAATCCCATTTTGTTACCATACAGTTTGTAATACTTTAACAGACTATCAACTGAATCAAACACCATTCCACTATGAAGCCCCACTTCTTCCTCTGCACATCCCATATCTTCTAATTCATCATGTTCATTTTCCTCATTATTTAACAGTTTTATAATAGACAAAATTAGAATGTACTAATACAACACATCAAAAGAAACAATACGATATAATAAATTTAAAATCATTTTAATGAAAAAGTTAAAGTTTCAAGCACAATTTACCTCAACATCATTGAAATAAGGCAAACTAGACTCTTCCATATTCTGTAATTTAATGCAAAACCAACACTATTGTTCGTGTTCACGAATCTGATTCACAACAATCACCAACAAATATTCTCTATCAGTTATTTTCTATTGTAACATATATTCAATCCAAAATAGAATACAAAACTAAATAAATGCATAAATTAAATAAAAACCACTTAACAATCTTAGCAAATCTTTCTAATCTGAACCAATTTTGATCTTCTTATCTCCATTTCCACTGTAAACAATTGTTTTACGAAAAATTTATGGCTTTCGTTCTTGTCACGGTAGCTGGTTGTTGAGGAAGAAACGACTATTGAGGAAGAAACTCGAGAAGAATGTAGACGTAATGCAGACACGAAGAACAGACGGGAACGATGAAGCAGAAGGCGACAATAGGTATAAAATGAGTTTTTTCTTTTTTCTTTTGCTCGAAGAATTTTGGTGCTGGTTTTTGGAGAAGTCGTATTGGAGAAGCTAATGTTTTTCGCAAATTAAAAAAAAAAGTTAATTAAAATAACATTTTATTATAGTATGGACGATCGTCCATATTATATGGATGACCGTCCTTTCTATATGGACGGGCATCCATAAGATATGGACGGGCGTCCACACATAATGGACGGGCGTCTGTTATATGTGGACGTCGGTCCACATGTTAGGGACGCCTGTCCAAAGTTTTGTTTTATTTTTTTTAATTTACATTATGGACGGGCATCCCTTATTTGTGGATGGTTGTCCATAACTGATGAACTAGCGTCCCTAAATTTTTTTAATTTTTTAAAAGCATTAATAATGGACAGGCATCCATTAACATATGAACGCCCGTCCATTACTTTTGTTTATAAAAAAATTATTATTTAAAGTTTGGACGAGCGTCCATTATATGTGGACATCCGTCCTTTATTTATGGACGATCGTCCATAACCTATGAACGGTCGTCCGTTATTTTTGTTTATATTGTTTTTTCCATTTACCGATGAACGGGTGTTCTTTAAATGTGGACTCTCATTCATAGTAAATGGACTTTCATCCATATAATATGGACGGGAGTCCATGGTAAGTGAATGGCAGTCCATAGTTGATGAACGACTGTTCACGAGAAATTTTTTTGTGAACGTGAAACATGGTTGGTATGAGTCACGAAACATGTAATTCGGTGTAGAGTCCCGGTGTCCGTAGCATTATTGCATTTGGTAAATGATTTTTAGCCCCTATAGTCTACTTTTAGTAAGGATTTAATTAAAAAAAAAAAAATTCTTCTTCTTAAGCTTTATATTTGTAGTCAACAAAGAATTAAAAAGAACATCAATTCAAATTTATTTGTATATGATTTAAATTTAATGCTACTTATTAACATATAACAATGGTATATTAATTTCAAACAATTCGTCAATTCTAATATAATTTATAGGACTTTGTTTTGATTTTGAGAAAAAAATAGTTTATTGTCACTACTTTCACAAAGCCTTTTTCAGAAGCAAAGCATTGCGAGGGCTGAGAGTGCTAAATTAAACTTTAAATTACATATTTAACCTCTTTTCAATTGGGAATGGGTGTGATGATCAATTCTGTGGGCAGTGGGGCTGACGAGTACTTCCCCAAATTTCTTGAAAACAACGTCACAAAATTAACTTTACTGAACGAATTGTGTTAGCTTTAAACTTTAAAGCCGTTCAAAGATATCACTGATAAAATGTTATCATATAATCAATCTATTTAATAATTCATTTCATTTATGGCTTGTTTAGTTTACTGGCCAAAATTGTAACAAATAAATTACTTTTTGGGAGCGATTCATCCTTCCCAAACACAGCATACAATACAACTCTCTATTATGGTACGCTGTCCAAGCAATAATGTTAGGGACACCGAAAATTTTACACCGAAAATGTGTACCGGCCTATGTATAACACGTATCTGATTTGTTTAACAGTTTTTTTCTAGTGAACGGCCGTCCATCAAATTTGGACGGCCGTTCACTCACATGGACGTCCGTCCATATTATATGAACGGGCATCCATATACAAGGGACGGGCGTCCCCATTTAAAGGACGTCCGTCCCTGATTAAAATACAATAAAAAATTTTATAAACATTAGGGACGACCGTTCATAAATTTTGGACGGCTGTCCCTTACGTTTGGACGGGCGTCCATGCTTTAAAAAAAAAAAAAAAAAAAAAAATTCGAAACCCTTATACTTGTCTTACTTCACTCTTCATTCTCCATCTCCTGGATTCTTCTTATATTACTGCCAGTTGCATTAATTGCTTTCCTTCTTTTGCTTATTGAAAATGGCAATAATCAATCACTAACAACGGCATTTGTTACATTCCATTTTTTTGGTCAAATCATGCACAAAGAATATCAACTTCGTCTTCATCCATGGCACCCTTGACATCAACAAGCTTGAGGAGTGTGTCAAGCTTAAGGGTAGCATCACCACCGGTTTGTCCCAACATCATGCGGTTCCTAGTCTTAAGTACAGCCTCTAGAAGCTTTAGAAACATTAGTTATTTCTCAATTCCTACAAGCAGCCTGAACAGAAGAAAAAAGAAAACATGAGACTTGGCCAACCATATAAGCACAATAATAATTCATAAGAACAATATGCAAATTAAAATACATTTTCATGGCGAGGATGGTAAGAATAGCTAAGCACATACAGGGGAGAGAGAGGAGAGAGAGAGAGAGAGAGAGAGAGAGAGAGAGAGAATCAAGAAACCCAGATTTATATGGTGATGTTGGAATGCCAATTAATGCAACTGGCAGTAATTAAGAACTAACATGAGAATCAGGAGATGGGGAGAATGAAGACGGAGATGGGGAATGAAGACGAAGAGAAGACCAAAGTAGAAGAGGTTTAGAATTTTTTTTTTTTTTTAAAGCATGGACGGGCGGCATTCCTAATGGAGCCCATCCAAAGGTAAGGGCTGGCGTCCATTCCTAATGGATGGCAGTCCAAACGTAAGGGACGGCCGTCCAAAATTTATGAACGGTCGTCCTAATGTTTGTAAAATTTTTTATTGTATTTTACAGGGAGGTCCTTTAAATGGGGACGCCGTCCCTTATATATAGACGCCCGTTCATATAATATGGACGGGCGTCCATGTGAGTGAAAGGCCGTCCAAATTTGATGGACGGTCGTTCACTAGAAAAAAATTATTAAACAAATCAGATGCGTGTTACACGTAGGCCGGTACACATTTTCGGTGGAAAATTTTCGGTGTCCTAGCATTATTGGTGTCCAAGTGTATTACCATGATAAGAATTTGTGAAATAACTCCGATGAGAAGGAAAAATAAGACGCTAAGAGACCCTTTTGGTCGAACCCTACACACTCTAATATCATTTTTCAAACCTACTCTCATTTTGAGTTTAGAGATAGATAAATAGACATATTCCATTACATCAATTGGGGGTGTTCGTAGTGCCTGATGGGGTTAAAGAAAAAAAAGTAAGTTATTCATCAGCCAAACATTCTTTTAACGACTAGATCCAATCTCTTAGTTTTGGCAGAAAGGAAAAGGAAAACGAATTTTTCATTCTTCCTCTCAGGCATGGGAGGATTTAGAAAATCCTATTAATTGTAGCTTTCTTCAAACCTCCACGAGAAGCATGAAAAAAAAGGCTCAAATGGCTATCATCCTAGAATGAAAGAAAGAAGCAATCTCATAGTCTTTGTCTATGAAGATATGGTGCTAGGTTTTTTTGTTTTTTTTTTCCTCCTTTGAGACCGAACTTAAACTTATGCTTGAGAGATAGTCGTCCATACACTGATAATGGATTATTGTTAAAAAGCATTTTATTGTCCTTATAAAGGGTATTTTCACCGGGAATTTCTTATTTTTATAATTTATTAATTTTACTTCCTCAGTAAGATTAACAAAATTAGCTTGAATGAAGTTAAAGTAGATGAATTTAGTTAAATCAATTGAATTATTTTAAATTTGTAAATTCTTATAACTATTAATATTAAAATCTTTGATAAGATTATTTTAACTTAGATATTTGATTTAAATTATTGAAATATATTAGTTAATAATGTAATTAATATTTTGAGACAATATAAGGAATAATTATTTTTAATATAAATTCAGTTATTTCTTAATTATTATATTGTCTCGGATAAATAATCATGCATTTTGGTTAACTTTGAATCCATACATAATGCCAAAATGAAATCCGCCTCTCCTTTCATTTTTCCTTCTTAAATTTCCCTTTGTTTTTATTTTTTTTTTATTTTTTTCAATTTTAATTTTATTTTTTATGGCCCTGAGCGGAGCTCCGTAAACTCAAAATAATGGAATCCGCTAAACTCTGAAAAGAAAGGACGAAAAAGATCAAACACATTTGACAATCAATTGACTTGAAATGGCTCTCCTTTTCACCTTGCCATCATCTCTCTTCTCCTTCTCCTCCAAAAACCCTAAACCCCTCCTATTGTCTTCCTCTAAAACCCATTCTTCTCTTTCATTCTCACTCAAAAACCCCACCAAAACCTTCACTCTTCGTTCTTTAATCTCTCACTCTTCTTCCCAGCCTGACCCCACTCCCAAACCCGATTCAGAATCCGCCGCCGAAACCTCGGCTTCGATCACTGACGAATGGGGCGAAAAAATGGAGCCCGAGTCCGAACCCGAACCCAGCAAGTTGCCGGATTCGGACCCTCCCAAGAACGAGGACGAGTGGGAGGAGGAGTATGTGAGCCAGGGCAACGGTACCGCTGCACAGGTGGCGGGGGAAGATGATAATACTGAATTGGCTGATTTGAAGAGGTGCTTGGTGGACACGGTTTATGGGACGGAGTTCGGGTTTCGGGCCGGGGCGGAAGTTCGGGCCGAGGTTTTGGAGCTTGTTAATCAGTTGGAGGCGCTGAATCCTACTCCAAGCCCCGTGGAGGCCGCTGGGGTTCTTGATGGCAACTGGGTCTTGCTGTGAGTTTCTCTTTATCTAATTTTATCTGTTTAATTCTGAATTTAACTCAACAACAAGAAGGAAGAGAAATAGAAACAAATTGAATTTTTATTCATTCAATCATTAGCCTGATTCTGTAAAAGTTAGTATCAAGAGAAGTTTACGAGAATCATCACTGTCAATGTTGGCTAATTTACAGTTGCCATATTGCTTGAGTTCTGAGAGCTAATTGGTTCCAATAATTATTTATATATTAATTCATTCTTTTTACTGTAATCTGTATTTGTGAACATTCGCATTAACCAATAGGTGAAATCATTCATTTTAAATGGTTTCTCTTCTCCCTTTTTGTGGTTGTTTATTTATGTGTCAAATCAATATGGGAGGGGAAAATGTTGTGTCCTGTTTTCCTTATCTTGAAAAATATTTCCATTTATCTCCCTAAGTGGCTTGAATATATGCTACCCGTCTGTGTGTTTATTCCTTGCTATGAGCGATCATCAAACAAAGTTGTTTTTTGACCTAGTTAACCATTCAACTGCAATTAGGTTTATATCTTTGTGTAGGTATACTCTTAGTTAGAAAAAAATACAACTTCTTAGCAGAACGTCAGTGAGTACAAATCTTTTTTATCTTCCACTTGTCCTGTTGTGGAGATGGTTTGAGTCTATTTCTTTGAAAAAAATCTAAAACCAGAAAAGAAGCTCCTTTTTTTAATCACATTAATCCAAAAAAAGAAACCAAAAACCTCTTTAATTAGCTAAACTGCCCACTTAACACATCTCCAACGAGTCAAATTAAGATCGATACATGAATTATTTTCACCTTTTGAATAATGGGACATCATGAAAATCTAAAATTTTTAGCTCCAAACCTTTCCAGTCTTTTCTCTTCTCCAGCCTTGTTTATTTGCCCTCCAGTGAAGAATTCATTGAACAAACACATATATAGACCAATTGTCACTCTTGTTGGTGTTAAGAGCTGTGTTGGGTGTATAGAGGAAGTAGATCCTGAGCAATGATAAGGAGAAAAAGACAAGAGAGTTGATCTTTAAAAGAAATGATTGCAAGTAGTTTTAGACTTTTAATTCTAAACTCAAGGACGGCGGTTGGCATGTTTCTGAACCACTGGTAGTTGCCTACTATTTGTTAATTAAGCCAATCATCAGGGGTCTATGAATTTTTGCATTAATATGTTGAAAAGTCATTTTAATAAATAGTGGATATTTTATAAAAGCGAAAAGGAAACAGTTTTTTAGGATATATGCTGATAAGACCTGCACTAGCTTTTCTCTTTGACTTGGGCATAGATTACATAACATTAATATGGGGATTAGATTCACTGGAACTTGTTGCTTCTTGCAAAACTGTATGATTATTGGAAATGTTTTTTGCAGTTTAGATTTGGATGCCTAAAATGAAATTGGGAAGCCCTTGATGAAATTTGGTGATACCGTAGCATATTTTTTCTTTATGTTGATGTTACTTCTGGTTTCAAACTTATCAGGTACACAGCATTTTCTGAGCTGTTACCCCTTCTGGCGGCAGGTGCAACACCTTTGTTGAAAGTGGAAAAGATATCTCAAACAATTGACACTGGTAGCCTCTCCATTGAGAACTTGACTACATTGTCTGGCCCTTTTGCTACGTTCTCTTTCAGTGCTTCTGCGACCTTTGAAGTTCGAAGCCCTTCTAGAATTCAAGTAATCCTTGAACCAAACTTGAATAGTTGTTTATGAAATTAATTCCAAAGCAACCTTTTTGTTGTGGAAAAATAATAAATGAATCAATAAGAAACTTTTTTAAACTGATTTCATTATGATAAATTATGGATTGTTTTTGGAACCTGAGGTTTTTATAACTGGATTTGTGGTGAACTAAGTAAAAATAATTTTGAAAAACAAAGCCACTTGAAAAATGAATTTGAAAGAGTTGATGATATAAAAGTATGCTTATCATTAAATAAATTAAAAATAAAGAAGAAAAAAGATTACCGATATTTCAGGAGCTGTCTGCAGCGCTTGGGGCAGGTTAGAATATATATGTAAACAGTGCAAAAATCTTTGATGTAGTTTGCTAAATGTATAGTGAGAAAATGTTAGTTGCAATACATAACTTCCTTAAAACCTCTGAGAACTTCAGTACTGTAAATACATGAGTACCATATCTTATGAATCTTTTCTAACAATGTTCAGGTTCAATTTAAGGAAGGTACCTTCCAACCTCCAGAGATAAAGTCAACTGTTTCTCTCCCAGAAAATGTGAATATTTTTGGACAGAACATCAATTTGTTGCCCGTGCAGCAATCTCTCTCCCCACTGCAGGAGGCTGTAGCAAATATTTCTAGAGTGATTTCTGGTCAGCCACCCCTGAAGGTACCCATTCCTGGTGAACGGACCAAGTCCTGGCTTCTTATTACATACCTTGATAAAGACCTTCGAATCTCAAGAGGGGATGGTGGTCTTTTTGTGCTTGTTAAAGAAGGAAGTCCTCTTCTAAACTAGTAACCAGGTACATTCCATTGTGTGTTATAGATTATTAAATATGCATACTCCTCATCATATATTTTAGAGGTTTTATTACCTAATACATAAAGTAAAGAGGGAATCTATTCTTGTAATTTTACATCGATCGGGCATTTAAATAGTGTCGATGATACTTTGACTGCAATTCTTATGTTCTGTTTACCCGCTGAGAGCCTAATGGAAAATGAAAATTTTGAAACCTTTCTGTGTTAGACGTAGTTGTACCAAGTAGAAGTTTCTTTTGATTGTTCTTTAGAGTCCAAGCGGATCATAAGGTGGCCATACGATATCTGAAAAGGAGCTTAACAGTTAACTAAGTCCATAATTCTTGCAGTTTGATAGTTCACTAATATGCGTCAATTTTGCATCAAGTATGAAACAGCCCACAAGTAAATAAGCAAGACATGAAAAAGAGTGACAGCACAAAACGGAGCCCGAATCTGGGCCATGATATAGGCTTTACTTATCTTGATTGGAGGCCTAAATTTGCGTTAAATCCTGAGTTGGTGCCAGGGGACATCTCATACAAACGTCTGAGTTTGATAGAATTACTGAATTAGCATATCATTATTTGGATCCAGCACACTCTCCTTCATCATGATTCCAAATTTCAACAAATCTTTTGAGTCTTCTCTAGTTGAAGATCGTATTTTATGAACTCAATCATGGTACAGTGGACTCCTTCAATTGGCTAGAAGTCAAGAATTAAGAAAAAGAAAATAAATTAAATTAAATCGAATTAAATTTGATAACAACCAAAAAAATGATTAAATTTTAGTGGAAAAAAAAAAAGATAAGACAAATAGATGGCAGCTAACATAACAGCACCGTCCTTGAATGAAATGTACTCACCATTTGTTCGTGAATTTGCCAACCACATCATTAAGCGCACCGTTTCACCTATACCAAGTGCCAACTCACGTCCCGACACTTAATATGGTGAAATGTCAAATTTTAAGTGGGTGATAGCAACTGCCACGTGTTAGCCGATAAGAAGTGAACCCGCTTGGTTTAAGCCTTAAACGGTTGACGAAGTCTCTTAAATTTAGAAAAAAAGACGTGCGCCGGTCACGCAATTCCCGCCACCTCTTACGCGTATCAACTTTCTTGCAATGAAAATTACAAAAAATAAAATAAATAAAAAAATATTTTTTAAATAATATAAATGTTTTGGTTTTGTCTCGGGTGTTGACTCGTTACCAACTGTTGATTTTTTCAGAGGGAAAATTCATTAATCGATTTTCCCACTACGTGTTCATCATTTCAAGACAAAGAAAGCATCCTGTTTGAGATTACATTACATTACTAATTAGATCTTCTTTTATCGGATCCGATATTTGGGTCATCATCATCATTCAATTCAATTCTCTGCATGTTAATTCGGAGGATCCATCAAAAGCGGAGGAAGAAAGAACGATTTCCCAGGCTTTTTTGGATCTTTCTACTTCTCTCTCACCCCTAGAAATCTTCATCTCTTTTATAACACAACATCAAGTTTCTAAATAAAGAAAATACACTGAATTCATATTCATAACAAAGAGAGAGAAAAGAGAATTAGGGTATGATCCAAACGCAGAATTTTATTTCCCTTCCTCTTTCAATGCTTTTGTTAAGAGATTTGTAGTGTTTATTTTTTTTTTTTTTTTGGTCATATAGCGGTAGTTGTTAATATGAGTAACAAGCTAGATGATGAGCAAATCGCGGAACTTCGTGAGATCTTTCGTTCTTTTGATCGAAACAACGATGGAAGCCTAACGCAGCTGGAACTCGGCTCACTCCTTAGATCCTTAGGGTTAAAACCGAGCTCTGATCAGCTGGAAACCCTAATTCAAAAAGCTGATACTAACAGCAACGGGCTAATCGAGTTCTCGGAATTCGTCGCCCTCGTGGCGCCGGAGCTACTCTCCGGTAAGTCACCGTACAGTGAGGAGCAGTTGAAGCAGCTGTTTAGAATGTTTGATAGAGATGGCAATGGGTTCATTACTGCAGCTGAGTTAGCGCATTCGATGGCGAAACTAGGGCATGCGTTGACAGCGGAAGAGTTGACGGGGATGATCAGGGAGGCCGACACAGACGGGGACGGGAGGATCAGTTTTCAGGAGTTCGCGCAGGCGATTACTTCGGCTGCTTTTGATAATTCTTGGGCTTGAAACTTTTGTGTATGCAAGTTTTGTGGTATGAACAAAGTTTGTTTTTGGTTTTTGCTTTTGTTGGTTAATGCACGGATTACTTGTTAATAGTTACGGTATAGTTTCTGTTCCTGCTGTGGTTGATTTAGAACAGTGAATATTTCAGATATGGTTATTGAATTGTTGTGTAAATAAGGTTTCTTTGAACGCAAACGAAGGTAGTAATTAAGAGTTAAATTCACCGATTTGATAATAAAGTTATTATTTTTGGATTAGTATAAGATTTTGACATCAAGGATTTGTTGTTGTAGAGCTGTCATATGATCATTGACATTGATAAAAGGATGCTTATAATTATGGGAATTCAATAGACAGAATTACAGATTTGACCAATTCTTGTGCACTTGACTGAGCTTAATTTGAAGACTTATACTTGCTCAATTGACTTGTTCATTGCTTTGTGTGTAGAGGTAGAGGGAAAGTTGTCAATGGCTGTTTACTTTGCAGCTTGATAATTGATGATATGTTTTCTTTACTCTTTAGAAACTAGTTAATCCTACTGTTACATTCGTTAGAGGCCTCTCAGTCTAGTTATCTACATGGGAGCATAGATATGAAGTCCCCTGGTTATAACTTAATTGGTTCAAACTTAAATGGACAGGTTGGATTAGAAGTAGGTACCAATTTCTAATTTTTTAGCCTTTAAGCTCTATTGTAATTGCGCAAGAGATTTCTTTTGGTGTGTTCTGTGTGATTTTTCCGCCAAGCTCGATGAGTTGCAAAGTATTAAATCGACTCAGAATGAGTCCGACTCTACCGATTTTCCGACCCAACATAAGCTCATCGACATATAGCTCAACCCAACACAAACTAGTTATGAATAACCCGAATAATCATTCAATTAATTCACATATAACTTCATATCACATATATTATGGGGAATGATCAGATTAATAGCAATATCTGCACAATCACAAAACCCAATCGCGAGAATATCGGAGTTACAGTTCAAATCAATTATAATCTCTTTATTTTCTCTATTTACTTTGTATAAACCTTGTATATAAACCTCTCAAATGATGAAAAAGAGGTTAGAGAATTTCTATAGAACTCTTATTGTAAGCTCTCACAGCAAATATAAGAATAGTAGACGTAGGCATAAGAGGTTACCTCGCTGAACTACTTTAAAAATCTTATTGTCTTTTACTTTATTGCATTTATCATTTATCCATCGTTGATTATTCGTAATCATGACCACATCTATTCCGGTTCCACCAAAGTCAATCATATTTCTCTGATTGGTGTGAATTTTCATATCAACATAGTGATTTGATGTATACCTTTTCACATGATAATCAGGGGCTGAACGTTATTTTGTGCTGTGCCCTCTTAGTTTTATTTAGGTAAAGCTTGGCATGCTTTAATAAATTCATCAAAATTTATATTGATAACAAATGGCAACACAGAAGAAATATAATAAAAGTGATCACTTTGGATGACCAGAGGTTGTGGCAACAGTGTTTCACAAGGAGAATTTAAAGTTTAAGCCCACGTTTTGTTTGGATTATGGCGGTGGTCACATGATTAATTACCACAAAGCGATCCATTCAATTTCACTGATTTTTTCACCCTCCAAATTTTATGTCTACGTTAAGTAATCACAAGAGCTGGTATCATCTAACAACATTAATGCATTGAAATAAAATAAGAGCCTATGATTAAGAATAATTTGATCATATTTATTGTTTAATTCAATTCAATTAAAAAAAAAAAAAGAAGAAGCTTATTTCAATAATTAATTAGCGGCGGCAAACGGCATTACTCTAATCACGGTTAAAATTCTAGAACTCCGACGCAGACGGTTTACATATGGTATTAATGGTGATGATCAAGTTTAACAAGAACATGATTCTCGATTTCTTTTTCCTGAATCCATCTTTATGGATAAACATGTGTAATGATGAAATAATTATTGATAATTAGGGATGCGCTTGTTTTGTTATTTTAGATAGGATTTTGAGAATAATATTGGGTAGTTAAATAGGGTGAGTATTACAAGGTAAAATTTAAAATTTAACAAAAAAACCCATAGGTTTGCTAATTTAATTAAACACCCCAATGTATAAATTTTTTATAAAATGACAAAAACACCAATCCACACCCCCCCCCCAGTGTCAGATTTCGGCCACCACCGTCGGAATCTGATCGAAAGATGGCGTTACAACGCAAACCACCACGGATCTGGTCGGAAAAGGCCAGATCTGGCCATTGACAGCTGCAAAAGGCTTAAATTCCTTTTCCATTAAAATTCTTTACCACAATTGAATTTCAGAAAGTTTCTCTGACAAGTGAAAAATAGAGCGAAACGAAAAGGCTTTTGACATACCCAGCTACATTGTCAAGTCAAATATTAGCAGTGAAACAGTAACACAAATCTTCTAAGCTGCTCTCATTTTCCAGAAGTCCAATCCAAATAACAAATACCGCCAAGTATGAGAAAGAAAATTAGAATTTTTGGATGTTTTTGAAGATATGAAAACAGCAATGTAGATGCATCATGCCTTCTTCTTTTTGGATTTGAGTGTCACAAACCCGATAAATATGCATAAGAAGCAGAGAAGCACCACTCCAGCAAATACTGGTATCAATATGGCATACTCTTGGGGAAGGAAATATTGGTGGATGAAGTGATCACTGTCTACAAATGGCTGAAAATACAAAATACGCAAAATTAACAACGGCCTAAACCTAACGAAAAATTCACAAAGAAGTACAGATACTAACCAGGATGATGACCCAAAAAGTATAATAAGTGAAAATGGATAAGCTGATAAAAGATAATAAAAACCCAACTGCTCGATCTGCTAGTTCCATTCTGATTCCACAGCTCTAAAATTCTGCAAAGAAAAACTTCAGATCATAGCATTGATCAAATACAGAGTGATTCAAATGAACATATCAAGCAAATTATTTGAGAACGAAACATATTTGACGATGTTTTCCACAGTAACAACCAAAGTTTCAGCTTAACTGATAGAAAGTTCAGTTAGCGACAGCCAAGATCACCTTCCACTCTTAAGTCTTTTAAGTTCAAACACACTTTTGGAACCTCCTCTTCTTCCATTGTAACTCAATAAATCGATCACAACACTACATATAATGGTCGAAGGCCTTACAGAAACAAAAATTTTAACCGTAAAACATCATATAACCATATACCAATACAATTAAAAAAGATCACTAAAATTCAATATCCAAAAATCCAAGAGCAAGAATTTTCAAACCTATTTGAACACACAGAATCTAATTAATCCTCATCCAGTTGCGCGGCCGACGTCAAAAGACGAATTTTTAAGCTAACTAAACCCTGTGATCTCCACGGACTATAAATTCTCAGTCCATCTATACTAGTATTTTAATAAATCATATGATACAACTCAATACCTTCACATCAATTCCATTACTGAAACCTAAGCGACTAAAATGAAAATCAGATAATAAGGAAAATAACTAAAGTAATTACACACTGCAAACCAGATGCACTTCAGAATTATACCATTCTACTTAAAATTCACAGCATGAATATCATAGCTAGCTAATCATCTTGAAACTATATTACAGTCACGATCTCGAATAAATTTCAATTTCAGGTATTCAAAATTACATAAATCATCTTGGTTTCACCACAAAATCAAAATTTATTCAGAGAGGTAAGCAGATTACCTTTAATTCTCAAGTGAAAATCCCAATAAGAATCACTGGGTTTTTGTTTCTCAGTCTTCAATGCCGCCCACGCCTCTCTTGATCATCCGACGCTCTCCTCTATTTCACTGTTTTTCTCTCGATCATCCGACGCTCTCCTCTATTTCACTGTTTTTCTTTTGTTTTTGTTGTTTTTTTATACGTTGGGCTGGTTTGGGCTTGATGATAGGCCCAACGTTTTTACTAAAAGCACTTTCACTTCTTCCACTTTCTCCATTAGTGTTGTTCATTTTACTACCATCAAAATTAATTTGAATTTATAAATGAGTAATACTATACTCACAGATTTTTTTTCACAATTCTGACATAGTAATTTGTATTTAGTCAGTTAAAATTTATCAAATGGTGCTCAAGCAAGACTCATTATTATCTGACTAATTGCAAATTGTCTTGTCTTGTAAAAGAAAGTTTGTGAGAAAAGATTGTTGGTATAAACATTTTCCTTTATAAATATACAAAAGATTATCTCAAAATTATCCATCAAAAAATCTTTTGTAATTGTATCCTATGTTCCCAGTGATTAAATTATATCCTCCATCAATTGAAAATTACTTCATAAACTTAATTTCAAATTAAAAATACTCTTCTTCATTAAGCAACTTGTATCCTCAACTTTAGCTCCTGAATAGTTCGTGTGTTACACTCCTCTTTTCAACCATCATCTACTTCATAAACTTAATTTCAAATTAAAAATACTCTTCTTCATTAAGCAACTTGTATCCTCACTTTACCCTTGGCAAGTCTCGTGTTGCACCACTCTTTTTAAACACCATTGGGTGCCTAATGGTTAAAAAATAAATAAAGATCTAAGTTTACATGATTTTCCGAGTTCAACTCCTCATAACTCCTAATAGGCGTGATTATTAGACCTCGTATCCGACTAATAGTTTCACGGTCCCAAAAGAATAATCGAAGTGCACGCAAGCTAGCACAGACACCCTCGATCATTTGAAAAAAAAAAAAAAAAAAACTTTGCTTCTCAGCTAGACCTTTGGACCTCAACCCCCATAAGCTTTTTTATGGTAAAAAAAGATGCTACATAAGCAAATCCTTTACTCCCTCAAAATCTCTTTTCTGATGTAAATATGCTTGCACTTTGTTGATGTGCAAATTGCTGAGCAAGTAAACCGCAGGGGAACACTAAAACTCATTAACATTAAATAAAAACGTGGTTTATAAGATTGAAAGCACGAAGTTAAGAATGTCAGCTCAATCCTCTGCTTAAAATAGACCTGGTTCATCCCGGTTTGATTGCCAGGTCTGGTGTATTTACAGGATTGACAAGTACAATTAGAAAACAACAATAATATTCATAACTATTTTTGCGATCACAATAACCTGAATCTCCCCAGAAAATGCGGGTCAAGAAAATTAAAAGTCAGAAAATCAAAGGGAACTTAATTTATTATCCATGAGCACCAAAGAAGCATAACAAAATGCTTGATCCTTAGATATGTTAGTTTCCATGGCATGCAGTCCTTTGATGATACAGCATCAAACCAAATCTCCCTTAGATGAATCTCAAAATTTAAGAGTCCAAAAACACAAATAAATATGAACTTTTACCTTTAATTTTGCAGCATCCACAGCATTATATCCTTCCTAATAACTCCATCAAACCCACCTCTTTTGTAGTTCAACCTTGACATATCAGCCCCACTGTTGTAGAGATGCCTACACTGGGTTATGGACCCAGCTGTCCTTGGTGGTCGCAACATCATTGCAATTGAAGGAAAGTGTTTAGGTCGTATATTTGTTAACGAGGTGAATAGATGCCTGTCTGAATCCTGGTTTCTAGATGTACTGATCCCATTAGTTTTTGGCTTGGAAGATTGTGTTACTTGGTTGCTCATGTTCATGTTTGGACCAGAACCATGTATGGGTTTCTCTGATGAACCACGGATTTGAGCAGAAGGCTTCATCCGGTCAAGCCATCGCAGAATCCAGTTACCAAGATTTCGACCAACTTCTATGTCCCTTTCTTGTATCTTCCGGTGAAACTTGAGTGCCACATCAAATACAGCACGTGTTCGTCTGTTGAAAAAATGAAGAAATATGAAAGCTAGTTTGTAACAACAATTCTGGCACTTCAAAACTGGTGGTGGTAACACATTGATTATTTTTCAAAAAAGTAGAAGAAAAATTACAATTCCTAACGGTAATTAACTCAGCATTGGTAGTACAAGAACAGCAATACAACAGGTAAGCCAGCAGAAGGAATGCAATGTTCAGTAATATCATGCTAAAATAGCCAAGGGTTCGAGTAGTCCAGATTTTTTTTTTTTTTTTTTCATAATGCAAACCAAATTAATTCATGAAGTCCAAAGCACCAAAATGCTTACACTAATTTATGCAGAGAATATCACAGATATTATATTTATTCAATTTCTGGATGACCAAAAAAGTGCTTCTTGGCTCGTCATTGTTGTGAAGTTAATATAAATGCCAGCCAAATACACTGTGAAAACTCTAAACTCAAACATCTAATTATAAGTTCCAAGCCACTACCTAGCTAATTGGGCAAGCATATGAACAGAAAAAAAGGCTCTCTACAAAGTCAATTCCAATCTTGTGACGCTCAAACATCCAAAAGCAACTAGATAAATCAAAGCCCATTAAAAAAACTCCCAATAAACTTAAGCCAAAACATCTCACTTGAAAAGCACACACCATCGCTCTAGCCAAATGATATTTAAGCTCATTACAGCAAAACTAAAACTAAAAAATGATATTATTATCAGATTCAAGGAAAAGTCCCTTTCAAAGATGCCTGATTGTTTTTCATATAAGAAAACAATTTGTTATTAAAAAAACTTTTATTTCAATAGACGGCATGGCACTCACAGAGATGCTTCAAAACATGAATTAAAATTTATAAAACACCATTGGAGACTCTGTGCAAGTTAAGAGAGAATACAAGGGGATCAGAGGGATAAATTTCGGCTAAATAATCCTAATATAACTCATACATAACCAACAAAAGATACAAGCTTTTATGTAATTTAATAGCAAAGATTACTCCCATGACAAATATAAACACACTTCCATACAGAATCACTAGAATAGCTCATGTTGCTAGCCTCCTTTAAGTACATCATAATTAATTCTTCCTAAACCACTTCTTCCTAATTAACTTAACCTAACTTGGATATCTTTAAAGTTGGCGGCCGCACCTTAACTGAGCCTAAGCACAGCTAATTCACCACCAACCTTCCACTTTATCCTTATGAATTACTACACTAGAGGTAGTTCTCAACATTGTTATCATCACCATCATGTTTCGCTTCTCATTCAAAAATCACAGGCTCTAATTATTCACTTGCAGTTTATCAACAAAAGCTAACAACATTCCCACAAATAGATGGCAATACTAATTAATAACCTCTCAGTGTGAGAAAAGGTACACTTATTTTCTGGACATTCATTATCAAAACTGTCATTTTTCAATTCCCATAAATTGAAAATTTTTAAAATTTAAAATACCATCTACACGTTCCAAATTTGCCATTGCCATAAATATCTTACAAAATAGTTGGAAGAAAGAAAAAAGATCATGCAAATAGAAACTCGCTAACTTTCCTCCAAAACAATACTTTATTTGCCATTATTACAAAACCAAAATCCCTAATTTCTCACTGATCATCAAAATAAAAATAAATAAATAAAATCCACAACAGAAAATCAATAACACAAATCAATGTCCAACAAAACGATGAAAACTCAATCAGAAAAGAAATAAAAAAAAAAAAAAAAAAGTAAACCTGTGAGCAAACTGGCGTATCTTAGGGTGTTTTTGGCTTATAATGCGACGCTGAATCTTCAAAGCGAGTCTGTAAGTCCGTTTAAGCCCCAAGAAATAGGCCGTCGCCAAAGTGATCTCCCATACCACCATTCTCTCGCACTGTTATTTGTATCGTTAACGTTCTTTACAAGATTTTGTGTTTGTGTTTGTTAAAATTAATTTCCTATTACTTTTGGTTAGATGATTCGTTTTCCGCAAGTAAGAAATCTTGTTTGAAGCCGCCAGAAATTTCGACACTTACCTGCTGACGGTTTTGGTTAGTTTTCTACTTTTCTGTGAGGCAAGTGCAAACATCGCTTCCCGTGGGATTCATCACAACCGTTGATCTCTACCTCTCGATCTATACCGTTGAACTAATTGAAATTGGGCCTATTTGGGCCGATGTCATCGAACCCATATCAATTTCGTCAACTTTATAAACCTATTTTACTACGTGGAAACTATTAAAATTCTAAGAATTTTTTTTTTTTCATAACTTTTAAAAAAATATATATTTTATAATCAAATTTATTTTGTGTAAGATTTCAATGACTGAAAATAAAATTTTTGAAAGAAAATTTTCTAAAAAATAAGTCTTGAAAGAAAATTCAAAGACTTAGACGATAAACTTGAAGTTTATGTTGTTCGTGAATCATCGCCTAAAAGTATGGCAATGTTGTTTCTCCAAAGTAAGCTTAAAAATCGTTAACAAAATGATCACGTGATAGATAATAATAAGTCCCATAAACATGTTATCATTATTGATATTGGTGATTTTTCGTTATCGATCATTACACATTATTATTCTCCAATCAGTATTAATAAGAAATAATGGTTATAATTATAGATATGTGAAGCCTTTCTAGAGGCTTCAATTATAATGCATTGATGTAAATTCAAATTAGTTTGTATATGCAACGATAATGAATTATATGAGTGTTTCATTTGTTTCAGAAAAGGATAATACAAATTCGTGCATTTTCATTATTTATAGGAAGCCCTAGATTTTGTTGGAAATGTCAAAATGAGACCTTGGCTTGAAAATTTTTACAAAATTTTTGTTAAGATGAGATATTGTTTTTTCATCCTTGAAAACCATAAACATTTAATCTTTACCTTGAAAACACTTTGAGGTCGTCGATGGTTGCGTGGTATTGCTTGAGGATGTGGAGGTCTTGTGGCATTGCTAGATACCTCATGACACCTATGAGGCCTCATGGCATCGCTAGAGGCTATAAATGGCCTCGTGACACTAACAAGGTCAAATTTGACGTTGAAGGCATTACTTGAAGTTGAATTCTACTCACACGCGTTGTTGGAGGCTATCTCCAACCTCTTGACGACATTGGAAGACAAATCCAGCCTTATAAAGTCGTGAGAAGCTGGATTTAGCCTCTTCGGAAGTTTTGGAAGTGAAAATAAAAAGAAAAAGAAAATTAAAAAGGTTCAAAATACCCTTTAATAAAAATTGAAATGTGAACTCTATCCTCTCCATCAATTTATTAGGGAAAATTAAAGGGATGAGCATTAAGGTTGCGTTTTCAATTGAAATTTAAAGGGATGAGCACTAAGGTTGCATTTTCGATAAGTGCATTAGTTAAACCTAGGGTTGTCGTTGTAATTCCCTTATGTTTTTTTACATGTTTTTATATCCTTATCAGCGAAAAGTTTACATTAGCACCAACAAAAAGGTTTCCATTTTATTTTATTTCATTTTTTAAATTGCAAATAAACATACAAATTGTTTTAGAAATAACTTTTAACCACTGATTAGGAACCCCACCCCAACGCTTTAATCAGTTAGACTGGGACTCGGGGCCTTCATCGGTTTAACCGACAAAGGTAGAAAACCTGTCCTCAAAATTACAAACACCCCCTGCTCCTTCCAATCACTCCCTCTCACATTCCTGCACTTTCTCCCTCATTCCGGTGAATTTTAGTGACTAAAATCACTCTGGAACCCTCCATTGGCCTCACTGACATCTCCCCACCGAAAACCCCAACACCCCCGACCTTAATTGCTCGCCAATCGTCGTCAGCCACCCTTAGGGTTTCGCAATTTTACTTTTTTTTGGTTCGTTCTTGATGCTGAAAATCACCCCGACCCCTCCATTTGCCTCATCGGCATCTTCCCACCAAAAACCCCATCATTCTGAAGGCCAATTGGCCGCCAATCGTCACTTGTTTATAGGGGTGTTTTTTATTGGATTTCAAACCTAAATGGACTAATGTGTATTTACCAGAGATGTGTATGTTAGATTTTAAACCTACAGAATAGACGGTTAAACCCTTGATCAAACCGGTTAGACAGGTTAAACCGTGACCTGATCATCTGACCTAGTTGTCAAACAGGCCAGGTTCCTAATCATTGCTTTTAACATTAAATAACCTCATCTAAATAGGGATTTATAAAAATGATCTAAATTAAATCTATTTCTATGTTTACCTTATTTCTATCTTCTATCAAATTAAGCAAATCTATATTTACTAAATTAAAACAAAACGTTAAAAAGAAAATAATAAACAGGGAAGTAGTTTCCAATTAGAGTGGTTGACAGAAAAGGAGGTAGCACTACCACCTGGGTTGAAATTTATGGGTAATTAACTGGCCATCCAACAACTAAGGTAACTAACCCTTACTATATATAACGTCTCTCAACAAACAACTCTAACATTCTATTATGTATCTTAGTCAATCAATTAATTTTTTTTTAAATTAATACCATCATATCATTTTAATTCCTATAAATTAATTCTATATAAGATACTGACTCATGCGTCTGCATTATTCATAAATAAATAAAAAATACACTAATTTGTATTTTCTGTTTCACGGGTCCGACTCAGTCTCAGCAAAAGCCATAAAGCTCCTCCAACAACAGACCGGACCACTTCACTTTTTTTTTTTTTTTAAATATTCCATTAACTGAATTATTATTAATAATTAAAAAAAACCCAAAATATATAACAGAAATATAAAATATAGAAAAATGTGATGGTGCCGGTAATGTAACGGTACCCCAAGACCAGCAATAAAAAACAAGCCACGCTTACCTGTTCTTACCTCAATAACTCAGAGGTCAGAGCACAGCTCAACAGCAGCTCGCTCTCTCGCTCTCTCTCTCTCTCTCTCTCTCTCTCTCTCTCAGCCATGCATAGACAGTCTCTAGGCTCGCCGGTTTCCAAGCTCCACAGCCATGGTGGTGGAGTTCCTAAAGAAGATTCTCGTGTAACTGAACTCGTTTCTCCATCTTCTTCTTCGTTCACCGACGACGACCAAAGCAAGACGACGAAGCCTCGCCGCTTCTCGCTCTCACCGCCGCCTTCCTCATTGTCATCTCACTCTAAATCTGAAAATCTCGTTCACCTCATTCCTCTTCTCACTCTCTTTTGCTTTCTTGTCCTCTATCTCTCCTCTCACTCTCCCTCTCAATCAGGTAATTTTTGTTTTGTCAATCGACGGCTTCGTTTTAATTAACTGAAGTTTTGTTTGATTTTTTTTTTTTTTTTTGGTTGTTGCTGTTGTGTTTCAGATTTGGCTCAGTTTAACGGATTCAAGCGGCTTTCAACGCACACAGGTATAAATATAATGCAGGATCAATTCAGCTTCATTTTTGGTTTCTGAAAGTATTTTTATTGTTTTCGTTAATTTATTTATCTGTTTTCTGATTGTAGATTCCAGTGAAATGGAAGATGTCAGCCGATATGTTGAGCTGCGGAGAGGCGATTTTTTGGCGATTGGAAGTCTGAGAAACTTACAAGAGATTGAAAAGCATGCTCCAAAATATCGCCCCCACCGAAAAATCGCCGATTTTTAATGCACATTTCCTGGTTCATAATCTATCCCTTTGCCTTGCTGGCTTGCTCCAGCTCCTTCTTATCACTCTCGCACGTGTGCTTACGTCTGACTATTTTTTTCACGTGTGAAATAATATGAATTCATTTGTTAGGAAACCATTTCGCTCAATTTTATGGCGCTTGTTGAACTGTTTTTTTGTGTAAATTTTGTGGAGAGAAAGGAAATAAATAAAAATAATGAACATAATTTGTTAATAATTTAATGTTAACGTGCGCTTGAGAGGGAGGTGGCGTAAGTTAGCGGTAGTGATTGGAATCCAGCTGGATGTTCCGACCGTTAGTTACTGCAACCTCGAGTTCGGAAGACAGCTGGAATGATGTGGTGGTGGTGGAACAGAGCGCATTAACAACTCTTAAAACTCTCCTCTGAGACTAATCTAACAGTCAGATGTAGGCTCGTTTGGTGATGCCTCCAGAGTCCAATTACACGTGTAATTTATAGTATTGCATTTTTAATTTAAGATAATTAAAGTTGTTTTGCATTATCATATTTTATTTTCCATGTTGATTATTCGTGAATAAAATAATTTTAATTTTTTTAATTTAAGAAGTACAAACGTGAATCTGCCACCATAAATTGTACCTAAATGCCTTGTTCAGTTCTGTCTGACGAGTAATTATTTAGTATTAAATCCCTTTATTAATTATGGTAATTATTGTTATTGGAAGTCAAAAGTTTCAGGTTTTGGAACAAGGTAACTTTATGGTAATTGGTGAAGAGAAATTTTCAACGTTTTGATTCTTTGAATGAATTGATTAACAAGTAATATATTAAAAAAAAAAAAAATAATTTTTTAATTTCACGAGAATTATATACATTGTTTTCCCTTATATGCATGTACACGTGTCGAAATCTGAACGCAGTACTAAAGACAACGCGATGACATAAAAAGTGTCGGTCACGGTGGAATCTTTAACCTCGGGTTCTCATTGTTTTTGACTTTTGACAGCGAATGATCAGACCACTGTAATTCCATGATGATAATCACATGCCACGACATTGTGACAGGTGTCATTATAGCCCACTACATGTATCATGATTTAAGTGGAACTTTTATTCATTGGACCCACCACAAAATATGACATATGCAGTAGGTCCAACGGAAATAAGAAAAAGAAAAAGTGTTTTCTAAAGGCGATGACGATAGATGCTGATGTACTGTATCATGTCCATTATTGACCTTCCGTTGAGATGAGGTGCGTGTGATGGACGGTGTGTGATTGGGTTTGAAAGTTTATAACTTAGCTTGTAAGGTGTAGATGGAAGAATAATTTTTAATGTAGTAAATAATTGAGCATATAATTAATGATTGTGGATCCATCCATCAAAATAATGATGATGATCATCATGATTAATCCAAGCCAAACTAATATGCCACCTCACACTTTCCTTTTCACAAATTAATTTGATGGTTTTGGATGACGATTTCGTGGGCTCCTCCATCACGAGTGGAGCTTAGCTTAACGACATCTTCTCGTGGTTTGTTTGATGCTCATAAAACATGTTATACCCTTGGTAAATTTCATTTCCTAACCTAAATTTAATAAATCAACAAGTAAGTAGCCAAGGTGTTCGGTTCCGAGTATTCTACATTTTTTAAAGAAATCAGAACTAGAACTAACGGTCCCTTGAAATTTAAAACTGAAACTAGAACCGACGGTTCTAGTTCCTAGTTACCCAGAACCAGAATCTGTAACAATGGTTTCGGTTCTGGGTATCCTGTAAAATTACATGACCCCCCAAAAGTTTTTAAAATGGCAAAAAAAAAAAAATCCTTAAAAACTTACAAATACCCCTCACCTGGTATTTGTTAACAAAAATAAAATTACAAATTACAAATTACATTACTTTGTAAAAATAGATTCTCAAAAGTCAAACAAACTTATTTTAAATGTTATGAAATATAAATATAAATGTATTATTTTCTACAAAAGTTTTTTTTAACCCCCTACTATTTAATTTTATTTTATATTAGTCTCAGTTCCTGGTTCCGATTCCAAAAATTTGAAACCGGAACCTACCAGTAGATGGTCGGTTCCGGGTAGGAACCAGAACCAAACCTTAGGTACCTGCCAGTTCCAGTTCTAATAATCGGTTTTTTTTAACACCCCTACCAGCAACTGCATTAGGGTATAAGTGATAATAGCTAGAGGATAAGGTTGATAATACTAGTAGTAATGTATTTGATAATTTGACTATTTGGGAGTGTTTCTGGATAAACACTTTCTATTCAAATAATTTAAAGGCTTTCTACAAAATTATGGAAATCGTTTTGTCAAAAAATATTTATCAATCATTTATACATATATTTTAAAAAAAACAAAAAACACTTTAAATAAGAGTGTTATCTGGAAGAGTATATACCAAATTCGTCTACAAAAATACATATAAAGAGCTTAATTAATCCCAAAAACCAGTTGTGTTCAAAATTTCAACCAAAGAAGATTAACTTATAATAATTTTAATAATTATTTAAAAACGTTTCAACATGTACTAAAAATGTGTTTGACAAGTAATCCTCTATCATGGGCTCCCACAAGCTTATAAAAATAATTAAAATTACTAAGTGATTTACAGAATGTTGTATTATTAGGAATCTTATATTAATGGAAAGATAGATTACCTTGAAGATTGTTGAAAATATTTAAGAAAATGTATTTGATTGGTTGAAATAAATTAGTGGGTATTTTATTTAAATTACTAAATTGTCCTCATATTAAATATTATTATTTAGATTATTACATAACCCCATATATTTAAAACTTAACAGAAACAACCCCATAATAAAAGTTTCAAAAATCAACGAATGCATTCCCACCAACCTAACCACTGCCAATCGCCGGCACCCGATAACCCAATGGCCTTTGTGCATTGCTTTGGCCATTTCCGGCCATTGATTTGGCCAGAATGGCTAGTTTGTGACAAATTTGGCCAAAAAACAACCAAATTAATTTGGTCATTTTTTACCTGAATAGACTTGGCCATTTCTAGCCAGATCTATGGCTATCTGACCCTTTTTTGACATCAATATGGCCAGAAACGACCATATCGGAGACTCCTAGCCGCGACCGATGGTGGTTGGCTAGCTGTCAACGGTGGTGGCTATGTGGCAGTGATGATTTGCAATTTGTTTTAAATATAAGGACATTATTATCCAAAAACTTAATTAAACAGGGGTAAAATTGTAATACCGAATTAATGTAATTTTTTTTTTTTTAAACAAGAGCATTATTGTTCAAAAACTTTATTAATAAGGAATAAAATTGTAACAAAACTAAGATTACCATGTAATCTTAAAATACTTAAGAAAATGAAGATAATCATATTACCTCTTATACTATCAACAATAATTACTATTAGTTTTGAAAGATTACAGGAATCTTATATTACTTGACAACCAAACTTGATAATCAAGTAATATAAGATGATATTATCTCAGTAATTCAACATTACTTCCAACCAAATACACCCTAAAAGATATTCAAAATTCCTATTTTATTAAACTTATTTATTCAGAAACAGATATACTTATTAATTAAGAAATGTTTTGCATTTTTCATGATTAGCTATTATTAAATCTTTTACAACCTTAATACTCACCCTAACACATCCTTTAGCAATAATAATTTTTGGAATATATAAAATGGCCGAACTTTGCTGGGTTTCTACAGTAAAACATTGCGGTATTTAATGACACCGTCAAAACGGTTGCATAGATCGCTGATTGGTGGTGAGTGCAACTATGTCGGCGGTGCCAACTAAGTTAATTCAAAGATATTTTATTAAATTAACCTTTGTAAAAACTGTAGTTGAATTCTAGTAGCTAAAATAAATCTACTTTTAGATTCATTTTATAAAACAAATCATTTCATAAACCAGCTTGTTATATAATTACTTTTTAAATTAGATTAAACTTCATATCCAAGTGGTATTAAAGATTGTTTAAAGCAAAGTCTAAACCTAATCTTTTGGTGCTTTATTTTGTACATATGCTTCTTTATAAAGACATATTGAATAAAATTTCTAAAAAGATATATATATATAAATGGTATCAAGCATCAAGCAAATCTTTTGTCCGACAAGAAAGCTTTTACTTTCTATTGGAGAAATTTTTTAATAAGATAATTATTTCAGTAAATAAAAAATACATCATCACAAAATTTAATAATTGGAGATAAACTAAAATAAATACTATTGATTATTAAATTGCAAATTGTGATATATAATGGTAATAGATAAAAAGGGTTTGATTTTTTTTTTTTTTTTTTTAACTGTAACCCAATGTTGATAAATAGAGTTAAAAATAAAATCATCCACGAAGTCAGAAAGTTTGCGACAACACCCCTGAAATCACGATTTGATTGAGATTATGTAACGAAAATATCTCAAAAAATTTCTTTAAAAAATAAACACTTTTTTTAACGCAAAAGACTAATCATGTTTAACAAAAGGAATTACTTGTGCTGTAAATCCCCAGGAAAATTTTATCCAATAAAAAATTAATAAATAAAGCAATAATTATTTTGGGAAAAAAGTTTTTCTCTTTTACATTTCCCCCCTTCATTTATCGTACAAATATTCTAAGGTGAAGAGTGAAGACCTGAAAAGATCTGGACAAAAGCATTCCTAGAGTCCCACATGCACATGAATATTACAGCAAAGTAGAAAGGAAATTATCAAAGCAGAAAGGAAATTATCATGTCAGGATCATAGAATCTCGAGAGAAGAATTCACATACCATGATAATTTTGGTACTTGGATGACGTGGCATACCCTTTCCATGTTTTTTCCTGCAATTCAAAACCATGATAATTCATAGGCTGGGACTATTGAAAGTATCCAGAAACTAGAAATATTTAGTGAAAATACCATCTCCAATTTTTTGTTCAAAGTGTCTGCCGTGAGAAAGTTTCCAAGCAGTGCTATCTGCATGAGTTATATGTTTCTGTTTAATCAGAGGGAGACAGATAGATATGAGAAAACCCTGCATTCAATATTTTCAGTACCTTTTCACCCAGTATGACTGGTGGAAGTACCTTGTAAGGACATGTGCCGCAGCGAAAAGCGTCTCCTAGTCCACACTACAAAGTGAATAAATTTATCAAACTCAAGCTACCGGAAATATGCTGCATAATATAAGAATTTAGGCAAATCTAATACTTCCAAGATTGTGAGAAAGATGACGAATGATGTTCTAAAACTCTGGTAATTTTAACACTTCTAAATGCTCCTAGGATACTGAATGACAAATGATGCTGATAGAAACCCACTCCAACAACTCAAACAATTGGGTTAGGCAATGCGTCTTTCTTGGACTTGGGTAGAACTTTTCTTGAAAAATCAGCTTGCTAAGAGAGGGTGCTCAAGCCTTTTATAATCCACATGCCCACTCTTTTCCCTTTCAATGTAAGATCTTAACATTCCACCATGCTTCCACAACCAACATCTACGTTGGTCTTTTTACCCCGTCAGCCTTTGTTGGGGTAGCAACTCGGGCCCAAGGTCAGC